TCGGTGGGAGAGTATGATAGGGTGGTTTAGTATTATCAATTGAGTTGATAACGAAAATTAGACGCCTTAAAGAGTTCAAAAGCGTTTAAACTCTTTACAGTGGACAATTTACGCAATCAAGTCAGCTGATAATACTTAATTACTAAGTTAATGTAGGCTAATTGTTGGAAGCTAATTGTGACCGTTTCGAAATTTGCTAACTTGTGGAAAAAATGATTTGTCTTTATCAACGATGGTTTGACTTTACGACATTAACACTTAATCTGCCTAATAGTTGAGAAGGAGTACTGGTAATAAATAAGTTATAGAGGTATATGGTGCCCCCAAATATAGGGGTTTTAAGCCGTTCTGGTACAAAGACAGGTCGGTATACACTTTTACTATTTTGGTTTAAAATTAGGTAACTATGTTTTTCAAGAAAACCACGCAAGGGTATAAACGTAGCTGATTTTTCAACATGAATCAAAGTGAATCACAAGTATGAAAAAGATATTTTTCTTTTGTTTTCTTTGGGTGATTTTCGTAACTTCTTAACTTCGGCATTGACACAAGCCTTTTCAAATTCTTCTACAACATAGCGTAAAGGATTCTCAAACCAAGCAAAATTTGTCTGGTGGGGAGGCCAGGTACAAAACTAATTATTGAAATAGCACTTTTTTTTTTATCTGAAATAGGGTCTGGGTGGATAATCCCTGCCAAACATCCCGAGGCGGATCCCCCTCCCTATCCAGGGGATAGCATAGCATGGCTATTTCAAAACGCCCCCAATGGAAATTTAGTTCGCGCATGTCAGATTAACATTTTCAATTTGAAACCGCTGAAAATGTACGCTTAACGGCTCAACAAAAAAGAGCCCACTGATAACTACGTCGCAAAAAGTATAGGCGCAAAGCCCGAGGAAATAGCTAACTTACGCGCAGACATTGTGTTTTGCTTCCCTAGTTAATGTTCTCCAAGGAAAGATTGCATGTGCGGGATAGTTAACTATGCGACAGCTTACTGCCTTTCTGAGGTCTTCTTCTTTTCAGCCAAGATTTTGATTGATTCGAATTTTTCTTTCAAAAAGGGAACTACTCTGGCTTTACGTCTCCCCTTTGCCATTAGTTTCTGTACCATGACGTTTTAA